TTCCCTCTCTCCCTCCCTCCCTCCCTCCCTCGGGGCACCTAGGCTTAACATGAGACCCTAACATACATACATACATACATACATGCATACATACAAGAAAAGCAGATGGGAGAGAAAGAAAGGAGAGGACTGAAGATTTACAAAGAATTGGACAGAACGTGGGGAACCTAATAATGCAGATTTTTAAGAAAGGAAAGGGGCTGGAGTGATGGCTCTTTAGTAAGAGCACTGCTTGCTCTTTCAGAGGACCCAGGTTCGATTCAATTCCCAGCATTCACAAGGTGGCTCACAGCCGTCTGTAATTCCAGTTCTAAGGGATCTGATGCCCTATTTCTTCAGACATACATGCAGGTAAAGCACCAACACACACACACACACACACACATTTTCAAAAAGGAAAGAGTTCTAAGGTGTGTATGAAAGATAAGAGTGGTCAACTCCCGGTGCCCAATACCACAGGATATCTGACCTATAGAATAAAGTTCACTCATTTATTCAGCAAATGTTTCCTTTTCTGAGCTCTTGTTGTATGCTGGGCACTCAGACACTTGGAATACACTGGTATATTAGCATGCTAAAGCTGCTATAGTAAAATACCACAACCTGGGTAGCTTTAAGCAACAAAAATTAATAGGTTCAGATTTGGAGGCTGATATTTGAAAGGTGTCAGCAGAGCTATGCTCTTGCTGACTTACCCCTTCCCACTAGTGTGTGTGTGTGTGTGTGTGTGTGTGTGTGTGTGTGTGGTAACAGAAGGAGAGGGGAGATCTTACTATGTAGACTAGGCTGGCCTGGAACTCACAGAGATCTGTCTGTTCTTGCTTCCCAAGCTCTGGGATTAAAACCATGTGCCACCAGACCTGGCATTTTTGTTTCTTTCAAATTTTATTTTTTGTATTATTTGTGTGGGGGTAAGGGATGGGGCATGGGTGGAGCTGCCATGGCCTGCCTGTGGAGGTTAGAAGACAGCTTTTAGTAGTTAGTTTTCTTTTACCATATGAGTCCCAGGGATAGAACTTGGGTCGTCAAGCTTGGTGGCAAATGCCTTATTCTCTGAGCCATCTCTCTTACTGTCTTCTGGATTTTTTCCCAGTAATGCTTAGTGTTCCTTGGCTTATGAATGTATCACTCCATTATCTGCCTGTATCATGTGGCTTTTTTCTATGTCTTTTCATTTTTGTTTTCTGTGCATGAATGTTTTGCCTGCATGTATATTTGTGTATCATTTGGGTGCCTGGTGCATATAGAGGCCAGAATAGCAATCCCTTGAAACTGGAGTTGCAGATGGTTGTGAGCTGCCATGTGGGTGCTGGGAATAGAACCCTAGACCTCTGGAAGAGCAACCATTGCTCTTAGCCTCTGAGCCATCTGTGCAGCCCCTCTTCTCTTATTTTGAACATTTCTGTTTGTTTGCATTTTTAACAGTCTCCCTTAAAGCACAGTCCTTGAATGGGATACATAGTAGAAAATGAACTTAATTCCTCATCCTCCTGCTTGTACCTCCCAGGTGCTCGGGTTCCATAGGGTCAGTTTGTCCTATGTCTTCAATCTTCCCCCAATATTTAGATTACGAGTTTTGAAAAGTATTGACTATCTTTAGGATCACTGTGATAATTACATATGATATTTATAGAAAGTTATGTATATAATTATAACATATTAATATGTATTATTCAATTAGTACAGAAAACAATTGCCTTAGTTAGGGTTTCCATTGCTATGAAGAGACACCATGACCTCGGCAATTCTTTTTTTTGTTTGTTTTTGTTTTATTTTTTGTTTTTGCAAGACAGGGTTTCTCTGGCTTTGGAAGCTGTCCTGGAACTAGCTCTTCTAGACCAGGCTGGCCTTGAACTCACAGAGATCCACCTGCCTCTGCCTCCCAAGTGCTGGGATTAAAGGCGTGCGCCACCAACGCCCGGCTTGCAAATGTTTTCTTTTATAAAAGTTGCCATGGTTGCAGGGCGGTGGTGGTGCACACCTTTAATCCCAGCACTGGGGAGGCAGAGGCAGGCGGATCTCTGTGAGTTCGAGGCCAGCCTGGTCTAGAAGAGCTAGTTCCAGGATAGGCTCCAAAGCTCCACAGAGAAACAGTGTCTCGAAAAAAAAAAAATTGCCATGGCGGCTTACAGTTCAGAGGTTTAGTCCATTATCATCATGGTGGGGAGTATGGTGGCGTGCAGGCAGACATGGTACTGGAGGAGTTGTTACATATTGATATGCCGGGAACAGGAAGTAGACTGTCTCACTGGGAATAGCTTGAGCATAGGAGACCTCAAATCCCACTCCCATGGTGACACATTTTCTCCAACAAAGCCACACTTACTCTAAGCCACACCTCGTAATAGTGCCAGTCACTTTGGGGTCCATTTTCTTTCAAACCACCACAGCAATTTAATACAACTAGGCTGTAGTCTCCTGTGACATTATAAAGCTAGTCAAGAAAACTACTGGGTGACCCTA